AATTCCAATTCCCTTCTCATAGGCCTTCCTCTACACAGACTATCCCCTTCAGTCTATCATGAATGCTGCTGTCAGACTCATCTACCCTAACAATAGCTCAGTGTTCACCACTCCTATATACCAATATTTCCACTGGCTTCTGGTTGCCCAGTGTATTAAATTCAAACCACTAACAGCATACAAAGCCATTCATAACTCTGCCCCAAGAAACATCACCAATCTTGTCTCAAAATACTACACAAACCGTCTTCTTCCAAGACCTCCTGCTCTCTAGCTCCCTTGTCTCTACCTCCCATGTTCATCTCCAGGACTTCTCCAGAGTCTCACCCATCCTCTGGAACTCTCTACCCCAATCTGTCCAGCTATGCCCTATCCACCTTTAGGTGATCTTTGAAAACTCATCTCCTCAAGAAAGCCTATCCTACCTCCACCCAACATCTGAATTTCTTCCATCAGCTTTTCCCTCACAGTTATTACCTTTTCTACCACTTGCCCCACCCTATTAGGTTGTAAGCTCTTATGAGCAGGCCCTCCTAGTCCTCTCATTTGTATTGTATTGTAAAGTAACTGTGCTAAATAATATTAATAATAAACTGAATGGTCTCCAATAGGAAGCAAGCTTGTTTATCTGGCATGTAAAAGTCAGACTTTTGAAAATGTTTTACGGCTGTTAGGTTTATATTGTGAGAAATATTAGGATATAGGGAGCAACATCTAAATTGAACCAATGCAATGATGTATCCCATATTCTTTTTTTAGAACACCTGCTGTATCCTGTACGAAATTATAAACATATTTTTGTAAATTAATATATATATATATATATGCATTATGAAAGTTTACTATTCAAATAATTAATATATGAAATAATTGGGCTTGATATTTCAGTAAAATTGTGTTCATATTTTGTGATTATACCCTCTGTATTTGCTTTTCTACTAAATATAGTTAGCTTATTTTGAGATATATCCTCCACTGAAACACACAATACACTTTTCCATTACATACAACAATTCCCCAGGGAGAATAAATCACTATTAATGCCATCCATAATTTTGATATAATTTAGAAATAAACACTGCCTTTTGCATTACTGTCATCTTCCCAACAATCATATACTTATATGAAGATGAACACTTTAGCAGTTGACTATACTTACAAATTAATACTTAAAATATGTGCAAGTCAAACCGGGACATTTAATTTTACAGGTATAAAAAGGAATGCTAGCGTGGCAGTACTACATGAGTAGTAAGTGGCAAGTGTGTCCTATTACTGATAGGCGGCTCACATGTTGTGGGCCAGTCAAGAGACTGTTAATTAATATGGCAGATGTTAGTATGTGCATGAAGCAGCATGTGGGGATGAAGTTTCTTGTGAACGAAGGTGTAAAAGCTGCAGATATCTACAGAAGACTTCAAACACAGCATCAGTGACGATCCCTACCGTGGTGGTTCAAAGCACCACCCACAGCAGTCATTCCTGTGAACATTCAGCATGTGGAATGCCTGATCCTGCATAACCGACGCATAACCTATCATGAAATTGCACAAGATACAAATCTTTCTGTGGGAACAGTGAACACAATAATTCACGACTGTTCTGACTCAACTTCGAGACCATAAACTTTATCTCCAGTGATGTATACAGCTATACGATGTGGCTTTGAATTTATATCTTGCATTGGATCACAGTTTAACTCAATTAATAAACTCACATGTTGAGGAATTCAGATGAGGAAACCCATTCGAATGTTCTGTTTAATGGAGGATAATCATAGGTAGAAAAACGTTAATGTTGTAAGCCTCATGGAAAGCTGCATTCAGGAAGACAGGATACAGTGGAATGATTACCAGAGAGAGGCAAGGGGGAGGGGACATACACAAGTATGGTGAGAGAAAGAGCTCAGTTTAGACAGAAGAAGACAGCTTAAAGATACAGAACAATGATAAACAAGTGATGGTCACAGAGAAATAATAATGAATCAAATAGTGTAACACAACACTCCCCATCTGAAATCTTTAGATTTCATAACTTCAAAATATATATATTCAATAAGTCCAATTCTGATGAATATCTTGGAACCTGTAACAAGAAGCATGCAACAAGCAAACATAAACATGAGTTCAACTGGATGGCAGAACATGTAGTAATCCAACATGCGACATCTTCAGAGAGTACCAAAGTTCCAAGTAAAAAACCAGTGGTTAGCAGCAATGTACTCCCCGCCGAGCAATAGCATGGCAGAGTGGTAGCATAAGTCAGTCACCTGGCAAAAGGAGTACTAACTCTGTAATTGGTCAAGCAAATGTTCGTGTTTATCCTCCCTTGGTTACCTTGACCTCTACCTTCTGGACCTTATCATCACTGGGCATAACTTTAGTAATAAGACCTATAGACCATTCATTCCGACTAACTTCCTTGTCCATTAGGAGAATGAGATCTCCAACCTTAAGATTAGGCTTAGATGTTTGCCACTTGTGACGTCCTTGAAGATGATGAAGATACTCCTTCCTCCAGCGATGCCAAAACACATTGGCTAGATGTTGCACCTGTTTCCATTGATGCCTGTAGATATTTTTGGAGTCAATTTCACTTAGAGATATTGCAGCAGTTCCAATCTTTTGAGTAAGAAGTGAAGCTGGAGTAAGGATCACTGGAGCATCAGGATCTGAAGATACCAACACTAAAGGTCTTGCGTTCACTATAGCAGACACTTCAGCAAGAAAGGTAGACAAAGTCTCATGGGTGAGTGGTAACTTATGATTCTGCAACATGAAATCAAGAATTCTTTGTGCTACTCCAATCATTTGTTCCCAGGATCCTCCCATGTGTGAAGAATGTGGAGGGTTAAACAACCAAGTACATCCATTGTTGGCCAGGAAATTGTCTAATTGCAACTCTTTACATGCTCCAACAAAGTTGGTACCACAGGCGGATCTCAGTCGTTTGACTAGTCCTCTAACAGAGAAGAATCTGTAGGGAACAGATGAAGGAAGAAGAATCCATAGACTCAATCACTTCTATATGTATTGCTCGGACGCTAAGACAGGTAAACAATACCTTTTACTACTGGCAGCTCTACCACGAGTTCTCCGAGTGATGACAGACCATGGACAAAAAAATGTCTACTTTAACATAGGTGAAGGGTGGATCTGTACTTAGGTGATCAGCTGGGATACTCACCATTTGTTGCTGTTGATGTCTTTCTCTTAACTTGTGGCACTTGACAAACCTGAACAGTAGGGAGGAGACGCACCTTTTCATACAAACAACAAACAAGCCAGCTGATCTGCTAGTACCTTCTGTAAACTGACGGCTTTGGTGATGCACCCGTTCATGGTGGTGACGAACCAGAAGGGTAGCAACATGATGTTGACATGGTATATAATTATAGGATTCTGTTCTTTGCTGCATAGGTCAGATTTCCTATACGACCACCAACTCTCAGTAGCTGATTGGCATCAACTATAGGGTTTAGATTGAAGAGTGAACAGTTTTTGGACAATTCAGCTCCATTTCTGATTCTCTCAAATTCCTCCTGATACACCTCTTGTTGCACACAACGGATAATTACCTCTTCTGCGCATGCAATATCTGCTGCTGTGGGGAATCCGGAACAAATGTGCCAGCCATGACACTCTGATGTAGAGTTCTTCGCAGAACAACGAGCAATGTGAATTAGGCGAGCAATAGCACTTACAGCAGATGACCAGGTAGAAAAAAGCTCAAAACGGTGTGAGTGCAGTTTCTGTTTTGTACTCACACAAGTGTGGAGTGAGATGTTCACAGTTCTTATTTCCTTATCTTCAGCACTTACTAGTCCATAGGTGTCATCAGTAGGGAGCGAGTAGGAGTTCTCACACAAAAACTTTGGAGGCGAAAGCCATAAGCTGTTCTGAAGAGCTGTTGATGACACGGCTCTGGTCCCACAGCCAGCTGGGTTGAGTTCAGTGGGAACGTAATGCCATTGACTTGGTAGAGAGACCCTCTTTACACATTCTACCCTGTTGCTGATGTACATGTAAAACTGTTTTGTTTGGTTGTATATATAACCAAGTACGACCTTACTGTCTGTATAAAAGGTGAAAGAATCAATTCTAGTGTCCATATCACTTTGTAAGACTTCGGCAATTTCTACCACTAGCACAGCTGCACAGAGTTCAAGTTTTGGTATGGTATGTGCAGGTTTGGGAGTGAGTTTTGCCTTGCCTTGAACAAAACAACAGTGTGATTCTCCATTAATTCCAGAGGTATTTAACCACTTGCGGCCAGAGGATTTACCCCCCTTAATGACCAGGCCTCTTTTTGCTATTCGGCGCTTCACTATTTCAACTAACAATTTCGCGGTCATGCAATGCTGCACCAAAACAAAATTTGCGTCCTTTTTTTCACACAAATAGAGCTTTCTTTCAGTGGTATTTGATCACCTGTGTGCTTTTTATTTTTCGCACTATAAACACAAAAAGACCGGAAATTTTGAAGAAAAACTATATTTTTTTACTTTCGGCTATAAAAAAATATATAGTAAACTCAAAGTTAGTCATAAATTTAGGTCAAAATGTATTCTGCTACATGTTTTTGGTAAAAAAAAATCCCAATATGTGTATTGCTTTGTGTGAAAGTTATATCATCTACAAACTATGGTATAGATGAGGGGTCCTCAAACTTTTTAAACAGGGGGCCAGTTCACTGTCCCTCAGGCCGTTGGAGGGCCGGACTATAGTTTAAAAAAAAAAACTATGAACAAATGCGGACACAGTACAGGAGATGACCGGAGACTGCGGACACAGTACAGGAGATGACCAGAGACTGCAGACATACTACAGGAGATGACCAGAGACTGCAGACACAGTACAGGAGATGACCAGAGACTGCGGACATACAACGGCAGCAGGAATACTGGGCCGGCCGCTCCATAAAACGCACAGACATTTCCCCCCAAGTGTGTCTTATGGAGCGAAATAGTTCCCCATCATTGGTGTCAGTGGGAGGAATAGTGCCCCATCATTGGTGTCAGTGGGAGGAATAGTGCCCCATCATTGGTGTCAGTGGGAGGAATAGTGCCCCATCATTGGTGTCAGTGGGAAGAATCGTGCCCCATCATTAGTGTCAGTGGGAGAAATAGTGCCCCATCATTGGTGTCAGTGGGAAGAAACGTGCCCCATCATTGGTGTCAGTGGGAAGAAACGTTCCCCATCATTGGTGTCAGTGGGAGGAATAGTGCCCCATCATTGGTGTCAGTGGGAGGAATAGTGCCCCATCATTGGTGTCAGTGGGAGGAATAGTACCCCATCATTGGTGTCAGTTCGAGGAATAGTGCCCCATCATTAGTGTCAGTGGGAGGAGGAATAGTGCCCCATTATTAGAATCAAGCCAAGATTTGGAATCCCTCAAACTCCCTAGGTTTCGGCCTAATATAGACATGCAAAAAGGAATTAAGATGTTAACACAAAGAAATGACATAGTGGTCAGGCCGGCCGATAAGGGAGGGGGTATTGTGGTCATGTCAAAGAATTATTATTTGGAAGAACTGGGTACCCAATTAAGTGATGATAATACCTACGAAGTAATTAAGAAGGATCCTACGATTAAAATATAAGAAAGATCTAGAAAAGTTGATTAAAAGAGGATGTGAGAAAGAGTATCTGAATAAAAAAGAAGCCAGATATCTTGTTCCTGAAATGTGCAGAATTCCCATTATCTATACCATCCCGAAAATTCATAAAAAATAGTATTTGTCCTCCGGGACGTCCTATAGTTAATGGGATTGGATCTTTAATGGCACGATTAGGGCAATACGTGGATATGTTTCTCCAACCATTGGTGAGATTAACTAGGTCGTATCTGAGAGATACCAAGCACCTAATCCAATTGTTGGAAAATGTAGATGGTAATGATGTGATCTTGGCAACGGCTGACGTCTCATCGTTATATACGATCATTGGTCATACAGAAGGGGTGGAAGCTACGGAATGGGGTTTAAGAAAATATGGAAATCTGAAAAGAGGGCAGAGAAAATATATTTTGGACTGTTTAGAATTTTGTTTAAAACATAATTACTTTTGGCATATGAACGTGTTTTATAATCAAATTAAGGGTGTAGCCATGGGAGCTCGTTTTGCTCCCAGTGTGGCGAACATGTTTATGGCACATTGGGAAGAGATGGCAGTTTATTTGAGCCCTCCGAAAGAATTAATTTTGTTTAAAAGATATATAGATGATATTATAGTAATATGGAAGGGAAGAGAAGAGGATTTATTATGTTTCTGTGAGAATTTAAATAGGAATGACAAAAATATTGTTCTTACATGGGAACATAGCTGTGAGCGGATTAGCTTCCTAGACTTAGATATTAACATTATACAAAATAAAATCATCACTAAGACATTCTTTAAGAGTGTTGATAGGAATGGATACATTCCTCGAGACAGTTGCCACTTCCCGCCGTGGTTATTAAACATACCTAAAGGTCAAATGATTAGACTCAGGAGAAATTGTACGATGCAGGAGGACTTTATGAGTCAAGCAAAAAATCTAGGCCAGAGGTTTGAAGCCAAAGGTTACCAGCAAGACTCTATTAGTAACACGATCCAGGAAGTTGGGAACACAAATAGAGACGTGTTGTTAGTAGATCGAGAGAAAAATAAGGAACAAAAAGACCAGCTTGTAATATGTTTAGATTTCAATGTCCATTATAAAAAAGTGGAAACTATCTTTAGAAAAAATTGGTCACTATTGAAAGCTGATCCGGCCCTGAAAGAGATAATTACCAGATTTCCCTAGTTTTAGATATAGAAAAGCCCCATCATTAAGAGACAAAATTGTTAAAAATGTTCTTGATCCACCAAATAAAAAGAATGTCACCTTTCTAGATATAAATGGGTTTTTTCCATGTAGAACCTGTTATGCGTGCAAAGCTACAAAAGGCAAGAATAAGAAATTGATGACTTTTTCTTCATCTGTGAGTAAGAAAGAATTTAAAATTGAAGAATGTATTACCTGTAGGACAGAGGGAGTTGTGTACGCGCTGCAATGTAGTTGCGGAATGCAATATATAGGGAGAACTAAACGACCACTTTGGGTCAGGCTCCGGGAACACGTACAAAATATAAAGAAGGGGTTCCCGAAGCATAGTGTCTCTAAGCATTTCGCCAAGTGTCACAACAAAGACCCTAGTGAATTAAAATTTTGGGGTATTACAAAATATAAGAGACACTGGCGAGGCAGCCATAAGGTGCGTACTTTGAGCCAATTAGAGTCCAAGTGGATTTATAGTATGCATACTTATTTCCCTAATGGTTTGAATATCGAGTTTGATGTAAATTGTTTTATTTCTGACTTCTGAGGTATTTCGAGATGGTGCTATGGGTATATGAGATTTTTTTAATTTTGATTATGTAAACTCATGCTTTCAGATAGAATATATGTGTGTGAGTTTATTCGGGGTTGTCCTTTATGTGCTGGTGAAGGATGTAGTTATTAATAAAAAGTAATATTTTCTTTTAAAATAATAAAATATTCTCATCAATGAAATACTAAAATAATATTTTTTAATCAAGTTTTAATTATTTTAATTTATTTTTATAATTATTCAATATGTAGGATCATATATATACATATGCGTCCTTATATGCAGAGGTATATGTATGGTTCCGGTTAGTGCCATATATATGTATATATTAATAGATACGGGCTGTTTATTGGCATATAGTATTAGAGTTTGGCGTATAATTATGTGAGATATGTTTTTTTATATATAATTTTTTACATTTTTTAAATAATAAACAATATATTTTAAATGGGAATGGGTATTAGGTTGTTCTGCTTAGTATAATTAATATTGCAGTTTGGTACATTGTTATACACTTCTTGGTTCGTTTTTCCTGTGTAAATGTGCCCACTGCAGAATTAATATATACATTTTTGCAATGTTTTTGCCTTGGTGCATCATTTACACTCTTCGTTTTTTTTGTGTGTAAATGTGCCCATTGTAGATATAAGTTTGTGCATCCTTGCATAATAGTCCCCAGTGGTCTTCAGTTTAATGGCCGCAGGAAGTATCGAGGTGATAAGGCTGAATAGAACATCGATGTGGGTGGTTCCTTCTATCCTGGCCGGGTATATAAAGAGCTATCGTCACTGTGATTGACAGCCCTGATGAAGTCACGTGATATTGTGACGTAACGCGTCGGCGTAAGCGCGGTGACGTATTTCCAGCGTGGCGGCCATCTTGGTACACCTGTTATTCAGCTGTACACCCAACAAACACAGATATATCCTCATTTGAGAGCATGAGGGTCTTATGTGGACTAGCTGCTATGTAAGTGAAATTTTTACCAAAGATTTTATGTTCCTATGTTCCTATGGTATAATAAATATACTACACTATGGGAGGATTCCTCTGTTTTGTTCTGAGAGATTGATGTTTCACCTATACCTGGAGAAGAACTTGAGTGGGAATATTATATTCTGAAAAGTGTTTCTGGAGTGCTGTGGTGCCTGGAGGATCTGTGAGAGGGATCCATTATTGCTCTTTGATCCGCAAGGGTCGAAGTGATGAGGTGAGAGGCTAATCCAGAAGGTGGTTGGATTCATAAGCTCTATCTACACCCAGATACCTGCACGATTTGTTTCACCTGTGGTCACTTTATAGTATTATCGGAAACACCGTTTACAGTTTTGTTCACCTTCAACATTTGTATATTGGACTTTTTTGCATTTAATAAGTAATCAATATTTCACTTCACATTTGCACGTGTGATGTAACTATATGTATGTGTATTTTTTATGCACATGCATATAGATTTAAGTTTGTGTTCTATCATTTTGGGTGTTTTATTTTGATAATTTTGTTATCAGTAAGCACGTATTATTTATTTATTATTATTGTCACTATTTGGATTTGTGTCATTGGATTCCACATTCACTTAACTAGTTTGAATGTAGCGCAGCATTTATATGGTTTATATTCATTTGATCACTGGTATATGATTTAATGCTAGCAGCTGTTTGGGGTTCATATATTTAATTTGTTTCAATTGTTTAAACACATAATTTGGAGCGCAGGAGGGTCACACCACTAGTGCCCCATTATTGGTGTCAGTGGGGGGAGGAATAGTGCCCCATCGTTGGTGTCAGTGTGGGGGGGGGAATAGTGTCCCATCATTGGTGTCAGTAGGAAGAATAGTGCCCCATCATTGGTGTCAGTGGGAAGAATAGTGCCCCATCTTTGGTGTCAGTGGGAAGAATAGTGCCCCATCTTTGGTGTCAGTGGGAGGAATAGTATGTCATTGGTGTCAGTGGGGGGGAATAGTGCTCTGTCACTGGTGTCAGTGGGAGGAATAGTACGTCATTGGTGTCAGTGGGGGGAATAGTGCCCCATCATTGGTGTCAGTGGGAAGAATAGTTCCCCATCTTTGGTGTCAGTGGGAGGAATAGTACGTCATTGGTGTCAGTGGGAAGAAATGTGCCCCATCATTGGTGTCAGTGGGAGGAATAGTGTTCCATGGCTGGTGTCAGTGGGGGGGATAGTGTCCTATCATTGGTGTCAGTGGGCGGGATAGTGCCCCATCATTGGTGTCAGTGGGGGAAGGAATAGTGTTCCATCGTTGGTGTCAGTGGGGGGTGGAATAGTGCCCCATCGTTGGTGTCAGTGGGGGGGAGGAATAGTGCCCCATCATTGGTGTCAGTGGGGGGGGAATAGTGCCCCATCGGTGTCAGTGGAGGGTGTGAAATAGTGCCCCATCGTTGGTGACAGTGGAGGGTGGAATAGTGCCCCATCATTGGTGTCAGTGGGAGGAATAGTGCCCCATCATTGGTGTCAGTGGGGGGGAGGAATAGTGCCCCATCGTTGGTGTCAGTGGGGGGGAGGAATAGTGCCCCATCATTGGTGTTAGTGGGGGGGAGGAATAGTGCCCCATCGTTGGTGTCAGTGGGGGGAGGAATAGTGCCCCATCATTGGTGTCAGTGGAGGAATAGTGCCCCATCATTGGTGTCAGTGGGAGGAATAATGCCCCATCATTAGTATCAGTGACACCAATGATGGGGCACTATTCCTCCCACTGACCCCAGCCTAGGTGCTACTGCAGCCAGCATACCTGGTTGCAGCAGCACCATCAGCATGGCACACTTACCTGTCAGCTGTCCTTCTTCACTCCGGCCCTCTCTCTCACTCGATGTTCGCGGGGCCGCTCAGCTCCGTCTCCTCACAGGTGATTGGCCGCCTGTGTGCCTTTTCTGAGCTACAATTCCTGGCGCCCAATCACTGGTGAGGAGGCGGAGCCGAGTGGCAGGAGTGAGGGAGTGGCCGGAGTGAATGAAGGAGCACCGCTTCCTGGACTGGATTGTCGTGGGACTGGGACCGGAGCCAGGTAAGGTACAGCAGCCCCCTGCCCACCCCTGTACATAGTGTCCCTTCCTGTCCTACCCCTGCCGGCGGGCCGGATAAATGGCCTCGGCGGGCCACATGTGGCCCGTGGGCTGTAGTTTGAGGACCCCTGGTATAGATACTGCAATTAACACCATTTTTTTTTTGCTATACAGTGCTGCACTAGTTTGTTTAACTAAGAACTAATGAAATTTATGTCCTTTTTTTCACACAAATAGAGCTTTCTTTCGGTGGTATTTGATCACCTGTGCTCTTTTTTTTTGCGCTATAAAACAAAACATTTTTGAAAAATTTAATTTCTTAAAAAAAAAAACAATATTTCCTCATTTCTGTCATAAAAAATATCAAAAAAAAACCCTTAAATTTCATCATAAAATTAGGCCAAAATGTATTCTGCTACATGTTTTTGGTTAAAAAATCCCAATAAGTGTATATTGATTGCTTTGTGTGAAAATTATAGCGTCTACAAACTATGGTACAGATAATGGAATTTACACAGCTTTTACTTTCTGACTGCCCATCACATTTCGTGAGGTGCTAAAATACCAGGACAGTGCAAACACCCCCAAATGACCCCTTTTCAGAAAGTAGACACTAAGCTATTTGCTGAGAGGCATATTGAGTACACAGAAGATTTATATTTTTCCCACAAATATTTGGAAAATGACAAAAACATGATATATTTCTCACACAAGCCATGGGTATATGTGGAATTACACCCTAAAATACATTCTGCTACTTCTACCAAGTATGGGGATACCACATGTGTGAGACTTTTTGGGAGTCTAGCCAAATACAGGAGCCTAAAATCCAATGACCACTTTGAAAGCCTGAAGGTGCGTAACTTCCTCATTTCACTTCCTCACTACCTATCACAGTTTCAGAGCACCTGAAATGCCAGGATAGCACCAACTCCCCCCCCCAAATGACCCTTTTTTGGAAAGTAGACACCCCAGGGAATTTAAAAAAGGCATGGTGAGTATATTGCATATCTCAATTTTTATCACAAGGGTTTGAAATATAAAAAAGAAAAGAAAAAATATGTTATTGTTTTCTTTCTTAATTTTTCTAAAAACTTGTGGCAACAAAGAGATCTCCAAAATACTCACAATGCTTATCAAATTCTTTGGGGTCTCTACTTTCCAAAAAGGGGTCATTTGGGGGGTTTGGTGCTATCCTGGCATCTCAGGGCCTCCAAAACTGTGATAGGTAGTCAGGAAGTGTAATGAGGAAATAATGCCCTTTAAAAGCCTGAAGGTGCTTATTGGAATTTGGGGTCCTGTACTTGGCTAGACTGCCAAAAAGTCTCTCACATGTGGTACCCCCACACTTGGGAAAAATAGCAGAATGTATTTTGTGGAGTAATTCCACATATACCCATGGCATGTGTGAGCAATAATTCATTTAAGAGACAATTTTGTGTAAAAAAAAAAAAATTGTCATTTTCCAAAAACTTGTGGTAAAAAAATTCTTCTATTGACTCAACATGCCTCTCAGCAAATAGTTTGGAGTGTCTACTTTACAAAAATAGTTTTTTTGGGGGGTGAGGGCATTGTATGCCCAGCATTAGAAGTTTATGCCACACATCATTCACTGTTCTAACAACCTGAAGACCAAGCCTTTTCTGACACTTTTTGTTCACATGAAAAAAATCTGTATTTTTTGCTAGGAAATTACATTGAACTCCCAAACATTATATATTTTGTTAAAGCAGACACCCTAGTGATTAAAATGGTGGGTGCTGCTATTTTTGTATGTCACATAGTACTCGTGCAGCGCTTTTTCAAATGCAGATTTTTTACTTTTAATTCACAAAAACACAAAATATTGGCCAATTATTTGGTAAAATATAAAATATGATGGTATGCAGAGTAAATGAATACCAAACATGACATGCTTTAAAACTGTGCATGCGGGGGGCGTGTCCAAGATGGCGACCGGAGCGGCCGCATAATCCGGAGCTCCGGTGCCGTGCTTTTAGATCCGCGGCCATCCGAGCGGCGGCGGGTCACGGAGTGCCGGCGGAGGACCCGGGTAGTATCCCTGACCCCGGGGAGTCGGAACCCAGGTGATATTTCCGCCCCTCGTGGCGGCTGACGTCCGCGGCCTGGTGCGGCCGCGCGGGCCGGGGCTCCGGCGCCGCCCATCAGCTCTCCCATCCGCACCTGCTACCATCCGGTGCCGAACTTTTAAGTCCGCTGCCATCCGTGCAGCAGCGGATCACAGAGTGCCGGCGGAGGACCCGGGTGGTATCCTTGGTCCCGGGGAGTCGGGGCCCGAGTGATATTTCCGCCCCTCGTGGCGGCTGACGTCCGCGGCCTGGTGCGGCCGCGCGGGCCGGGGCTCCGGCGCCACCCATCAGCTCTCCCATCCACACCTGCTGCCATCCGGGCTGTGGGAGATCGCCTGGGAACATCCGCGGCGCCCTCTGCATTGCTGGGACTGGGGGAGAGACGCCACTGAGCCTTGCTGCTTCCCGCGGTGGCGGCGGCCTACATCACCGGTCTGGAGCCTCCATCTGGTCACAGTGAGTGGGGGATGCAGGTGCCCTCTTATTATTAGCTCCCCCCGCAGTGACCTGGGAGTGGGCCTCACGTTGCTGACCCCGGAGCCTGCCATCTCCTGTACCCACAGCCCCTGTTGGGCTCAGAGGCCTACTGGGGCCTTGATATTGCCCCGTGGAGTGTCTCCCTGGAGGGCCCTGTGCTTGGTGTTGGAGGTCCTCTGCCTCCCACTTGTCCCTCTTGTGTCCTAGATTGGGATCTGGTGCCATCATCCTGCTCCGGTGTGCTATATCTGCGTGTTACTGTGATCTATGTCCTCTCTACCCCTCCATGACTTGCTAATTATCTTTACAATATAATGTTCTCGCAGATGAATCTAACCGCATTCATGTAACTACAACCCTGAACCTATTTTGGGCGTTATAGGTCCCCTGGGGTTATAATCTCCATTCCTTATCCTATTTTCAGTTGATCACCCCCAGGAGACTCCCTGTATGCCGTCCACAAAGAAAAAAAAAGGGACAAGCCCAGAAGTCCCTCACAACATACCTACTTAAGGCACACGAACTTTGTAACATGTCTCCAGTCAATACAGAGCGAGCATCCCTGTCCGATCCCACGCAGGATACCACCGCTCCCTTATCGGCCTTGGTCAGTGAAAATACACAGCAACTTACAAAAGGGGACTTGGAGTCCTGCTTGGAATCTATGTACGCCAAACTAGCCGCCAAATTTCAATCAGAATTGCATAAAAGCACTAATGTTCTCTCTCAGGAAATAGCCACATTGGGCTCCAGGACAGACCGCTTAGAAACCAAACACGATGAACTTAGCCTGGCCTATGGTGAACTTTCCAGAGAGCATGATCATTTACAAACGGCCTTTTTTCAACTACAGGCGCAGGTGGAGGACCTTGATAATCGCAATCGCAGGAATAATCTGCGAATCAGGGGAATCCCGGAGTCTATGTCTGACCTCTCCTTAATCGTGACCAAATTATTTCAATCACTCCTCCCGGATCGTGACCCTGGGTCTTTTGCCTGTGACCGCATCCATAGAGCCCTACGCCCTAAACCTCCTACTGACAAGCCACCTAGGGATATTGTCCTGTGCATGAGGGACTTTTTGACCAAAGAGGAAATACTCAGAGCTGCTCGCAATACCCCTACGATCTCCTTTGAAGGCTCGGTCTTACAAATCTTTCCGGATGTTTCCCCGGCCACGTTGGAGAAGCGTAGAAAAATGAAAGAAGTCACAACGGTCCTGTTCTCAGCTCGGATTCGCTACAAATGGGGCTTTCCCTTTAAGTTGATTGTTCCACATAATGGGAGCACATATATAGCTACATCTCCTTCTGAAGGTAGAGCAATCTTGGCCAAACTGGGCCTAGCGGATGCCCCATCACCTCAACGTCCACCCTCCACCCCTCGTGTCTCTCCCATTTGGCATACCCCATCTCCACGGAGAGATAGAAGGAGAGTCAGACAGGATCCGGGTTGATAGGTCCATTCTCACTTGCCTATTACCTATTGTTTGACAGTCCTTTGTCTTGCCTATTGTCTTTTATGACTTTACCGAGAATTGAGACACAGGGATTTTGTTTCTTACATCTTACGCTGTCAGGATGTGTATTTCTATGGTTACTGCTATGTTAATTTTATAATCCTGAGTAATATATGTGTGCCTTGCATTGATAGCTGGACGAGTTAAGGTATAACAAGGGTCTTTGGTCCCTCTTAATTGCGCCCATTGGTTTATGGTTCCACAACTCTTTGACACGTTACCCCACCCTGCCTCCTGACATGGCCGGAAGTGTCGCTGCCCGATTGAGGGGTGGCAGTTCCGTTTTCCATGTTTTAGGGAGACAGGGTTTGGGCCCAATTGGCCCCTTAATATTTGAACTTTTTGTTTTATCAGGTATGACAAATTTTCAGCCTGATCCATGTTCTTTAGTTACCTTATTTGTAGGAGCTCTTCAACTCTCCTCTCTATTGTTTTTTGTCTTCTCTTTTTTCAACACTTTAGTGCATGAGGATTGTGTTGTGTCGGTCTATGGACATCATGGCCCCCATCTTGGGGCCGAGGGGTCCCCTGGGC